CACACACACACACACACACACACACACACCCCACATACACATACACACACGGCTCGCTCAGCTTTTCCTTCTGTAACCCCAAGGTCAGTTTAATGCAAATCAGAGGTGACTCTCCTGACACTGTCTCCGACTTCCTGCCAGAAAGGGAAGCGAGGCTAGGCAATGGGAGGGAGTGGCTAGGAATGAACAGGATCAAAATAACCCCTCTGTTCCCGTGAGGTAACCTGTGTGGATGTGAAAGAGGAATATCTACCATTTCGTCAACTAGACTAAACTCTCCCTGGAAAGATGGCTAGAGGCCACTCCCCTGTGAGGCAGCTGAGCAAGTATCCTGGACCAGGGTCCCTAGCCTGACACCAGGCTGCCTGACTCCAACACCACCTGACTTGCCAGGGCAGGGCCACGAACACAGGTCACCACCGTGTCCCCAGGGTTCTCATCCTAGAGCCCCAGAGGACACCTGCCCCACAAGCCTCACCTCTGAAGGTGACCCCAGAAAGCAGGAACTCGGCACAGTCCCAGACACAGCCAGTCCCAGCATCACTGCTCTGCGATGAACTGACAGGCTGAACCCTAGAGTGAGTTTCCCTCGGTGTCATCTGTATCAGGCTGAAACACAGCTGCTCATCAAGCCCCAGACCACATGTGGCCAAAAGAGCATCATGAGAAGAGAAGCGACTGTCTGTCACATCCCTGGTTCCTGCTCAGACTCAAGGTCCTGAACCTCCTCTCACATCGCCTGCCAAGCCCTCCAGCCAAGAGAAAAGTGGGAATCCAGGGCGCAAGCTGATCTCTTTTACAGGAGTCCCAGGGACTCGTTACAGAAAAAGGGTCCTTCCTTCCACCCAGCCTCTCCAGTCTCCTCTAGCAGGTTCAAGAACTTGGGAAAAATGGAAAGAAATCAGATGGCCACTGCCTCACTCAAGAGAACTCCAGTTCTAAAGATGCTTTACAATTCAGCGGTCACCATATTTTAAGAATTTCACTTTCTATTTTCTTCTCCGACAGCTTCGTTAGGGGCCAGTGAAAAGAGGGAAGACCCTTCACTACAGGAAAAGTTTACTGATGCCTTTAAAAGAAAACCTGGTCCTTGAAATTTTCCTTTTCCTCTTGGCAACGGATATTGCAAAGACCCGCACATTTTGCAGAAGATCATACCTAACACTATACATGTGATCTGCAAGAGCAGACTCTCTTGGGGTGTGCCTAAGACTCCTTTTTGGCAATAACATCTTACCTGCAGCTAGAATTCAGAGTCCCTGTGACTCACAGAAACATGTAACAGATACACAATCTGAACCACACGCCTCTGTAACTCACTGTCTCCCTCTCTCCCCAGTAGGTACCCCAGTATCACCGAAGGAGTGATCCATTCTCTCCTTGGCTTCACCCACCCTGGCCTGGGCTCCTAGCTCCCCCTGCTTCCTGAAGGTGTGAATCAATAACTTCCAGTGTCCTTTGGGTGACTGTGTAACTTCACCATGTTTAATGAACACTACTTTCATGCACAAACAGCTGCAGTGAATCGTGAACCCCTAAATTGTCATTTATATTTCTGTATCCTGTAATCGAAAACTTCCTGATTCTCATGCTGTGCATTTTAGAAACTAGTCTGGTTTTCAGATTAAGAGAGACTTTGTGTCTGGAGAAGCAGATATCTGTTCTCCCTTCCTCCACCGTGGGAACAGGTAGGGAAACACACGTGCCTCAAATTGCTCATCCAGAAAACAAAATCATTCGAGAGTGCCTCAATCTGTTAATGGAAAATCTGGAAAGCTGCTGAAATGGTAATGATAAGAGCTTACACGTCCCCCCAGGGGAAAGGAACATTTCTCATCAAGTCAGGCAAATCCGGATGAGTTACTAACTTACGCAAAGTGACTCATCAACACCATCAATATAGAGGAAGTAAACGTGAATTGCTCATTTCAAATGCTCTGTGAGCTGTCTTCTTTTCTGAATGCCTTCTGCCATCCATTTTTCCCTCTAGCAGCCTCATATATATTAAAATACATCACTCAGTCTTCAGTGTAACAACCTCTGGCAGATCCCGCTGGTCATAGTCCAACACCCACTTCCCCTTGGGCCTTGCTGGCAGAGCTCTGCTTTCACGAGCCTGACAGAGGTGAATACATTCCTCTGCCAATGGCTGGCTTAGACGTGGCCAGATGAGCCACCCCTGGGCAATGAGGTATTAGGGAAGTTAGATGCTCTGGAAAAGATGTTACCACCATCAAGAGAATGGTTT